CACGGCCCCCAGCCTCTCGTGAGCGGGGGGGTGGGGGTGGGGGTGTGTGGATGCGCTGAGCTGGGGGCCAGGAAGCGGGAAATGGAGCGAGGCTCTGACCAGGGGGCACTTTACGTTGGTCACACCCGTGGGTTCTGGACATCTAACAGCTGTGCTTGAATCCAGGGGCCGCCTTGCTGGGGTGTCCCCAGGTCATTTATTTCCCCTCACTTTCTTGGCTTGGTGCTCCAGAAGACAGAGAGGGGATAAGAAGCTTCCTCCAGGGTTGTCTGGAGAACTGGATGCCCGCGTGAGCAGACCCCGGCAGCGCAGTGCCCGCGGCAGCAGTGGGAGTGGGCCAGGGACACGGCCCTCCTTGTCCACGTCAATTCCAAAGGCTGCGAGGAGCAGTTTTCCCACATGAAGACTTGCAGGCACCATGTGAAGTCGAGGGGTTCCAGGACACTAAGGAGCTCTGCAGGGGCTCTGCCCGTCCCCAGAGGGCAGATGAAGAGCTTTGCCACCCCCGGCCAGCACCCAGGCAGCGGAACATCGGTACGGGCACTGGCCAGTTAGCAGAGTGCCCACCACAGAGTGGAGCAGAGGCAGAGTCGCTCCTGAGAGGCAAGGTTGTGGGGGGCACCAGGGCCTCTGCTCAGCTCCTGACGGCCTTGCAGTGACAGGGAAGCCCGTGACAGGTCCCTCTTCTGGACACCCCGAGTCCTCTGCATCCTGCTGTCTGTTTAGAGCGGCCTGGGACCTTCCCAGCCCAGGTACCAAACCTCCTCAATCCTAAGAAACCAGACATGAAGGGACACCCTGACTTAGGGACACTGCATGTGTCCCTGAGGGCTGGCAGAGCTGGCAAGCTTTCACCTGCGGGGCCAGCTAGAGAAGAAACATTCTAGTCATAAATGCCCCGTAAATTGTAACTACCTATATAATCAAGGAGGAACAGGCCCCGTGTCTCAGACAAGCAGCGCCGGCAGGAGGGCCCCATGAGAAGTGAGCGGCAGGAGCCACGGCCACACTGGACCCCAAAGCTGCCACCAGAGGTCAGGACTGTTCGGTGGCCTGGGCTGAGCTGCTCCAGGCCTGTGCTTTCACAGGGGACCCCAAATGCACAGAGGACAAGTCTCCCTGCACTCTCTCACCCTTTTCTCATTATTTGACCCCATTCCAAGTCTGTGCCCCCCGCCCCGACCTGCCCCCATGAGACTGTCATACTCCAGGGCGCTCCGGCTCTGCACGGCCCCAGCCACTGTAACACCTGTGACCCTGTCCCTCCTCCCCCAAGCACCCAGCTCTGCTCCCCTGGGAGCAAGGCCCCCAGGAGAGGATGACCGCACCGTGTGAACCCGGATCTTGGCTTGTGCATGAGGTCAGAGAGAGGTTGCTAGTCACTCTAGTCAGGAGGAGAAGCGGAGGTCAGTGGGGCAGGCCCCACCCGAGAGATGAAATCCACCATGACAACCAAAGCGACACCCAAGACGAGCAGAGCCCCCGGGGCCACGCCAGGAGAGCAACTTCGCAGGGCACCAGGCCCAGGAGGCGAGGCTCTGGACTGGGCACGAGGGGCGCCGGCTCATTACTCTTTCTGGGCAGCAGGGACGAGGCTGACTGACCGGTCTGGCTATAAGGATGAGCTGGCAGGTGAGCTCCGAGAACAGGCCCCAGAGGCCGCACAGCGGAGGGGGCAGAGCGAGGACAGACAGCGTCACCTGTGACAAGGAAACCGGCAGATGGCGAGGCAAGAGCAGGGAGGGGCCCTGGCAGGGCGCCCCACAGCTCCAAAGTGGGAGAGAGGCCACATGAGTCACTGACAACCAGGGACAGCACAGGCGTCCACGGACTACGACTGCTGAACAAGAGGGTCACCGCGCGCCCAGGCCATGCGACGCCTCGAGTGGTGCCAGACGACAGATGTGGAGATGGGGTGAACTGGTACTACCTGTCCACCTCCCAAACCACCCCGGGGTCGCGTTTAGGTGCCAGGCTCTGGCCCTCCAGTTCGGCCAGACTCCCTCCTGGCGCGAGCAGACGGACCGGTGAATGATGTCACGGCCAACATTCCAGAGCGGTCTCTGCAGGGGACTGCGATGGGCAGCACCGGCTGGCGACGAGCGTCACACAATCCTCCCAACGTTCCCGTACAGTCACAAACACACTGCAGTCATCGCGAGCGGCAGCGCACCCACTGGGTGCCGACACGTCCGCAGTGAAGACAGAAGTATGTGAGGGGTGAAGAAGGCATGGGGGGAAGGGCTCCAAGAGATGGGACGATCGGGGAGGAGCTGGGAGGTGTCACACAGGCAGGGTGCGGAAGGGGAGCAAGAGGGGGCCTCACAACTGTGATGACGGACCCCCCCCAAAGCGCAGGGTTGCGAGGGCCACGCAGAGACAAGGAGCGCCACATGGAGCAGGGGTCTGGCAAACCTCCCACCCATCGTGTAGCGTCTGGCCCCAGCTGTTCCTGCCGTCGGGCAGGCAGGGCCGCCAAGGCAGGGCCGAGGCCACGTGATCCAGCTTGCACAGCAAACTCTGCAAGCGCCATCTGAGATGGAGCCAGGGAGCAGAGCAGGAATGCAGACTCCCAGGCCCAGCCCAGAGCCACGGACCAGCCCCTGCCTTTAAGCACAGAAAGCTCTTTGACACCAGTGTGTGAGGTGGGGAGGAGGTGGTGCGGGCGGGGGAAGGGGTCGCCACCCAACACCCCAACACATAGGCGCAAAGTGTCAAGAGCCCCTGGGAAGGCTCGGACCACAAGGCCCTGGGCTGGAGGGTGAACCAGAGCAGCGCTGAGTGAGAGGGTGGGCAGCTGGTGTCATCACCCCGGGAAGGTGACCAAGCCCCCCGCAGGGTCAGGGGGGAGAGAACAGTCTTTCTGTCCTCCCCGGAAGCAAGTGACATTTTGAGAAATTCCTCCTTCACCAGAGCCACCAAATGGTTTCCAACTACAGCACCCCTGGTAATCGATAAGGAAAGAGAAGAAGACTCGGTGACAAAAACACTAGTAACCGTGTGTCTCTGAACACCAAGCACGTCTCCACCTCGGTGCTGCCTCCCAACAGCGCGCGGCCCGAGGAGGGAGGCCCAGGTCTCCGGGACGCGGTGCCACCCAGCCCTTCATGGTGACCAAGGTGGTGTGAACCTCAGGACTTCTCCCTCCCCCACATGTGTGAGATTCTGCTTGGTATTCAGTTTTCCTGGCTTTTGGATGAACAAGCGATCTACAGCCAGAGAGAAACAAAGCAGCGTTTTAGACAATCACGCCAACACTGTTCTTCCAGCTCGGCTAGCAGCTTCCCAGGCACCGTTTAACATTCTGCCTCCCTCAAAAATCTACAGGAGTTTGACAGGCTTATTGGTGGGCCTGAATATGCTTGACAGCAGTGGGGATAAAAATAGATGGTGAAAGTCGGAAACCCCTTTCTTAGATGCTTGGCCTCAATACTTTACGTTCACCCCATTGGCAGAAACAACGCCAAAGACAAAAACGCATAACTGCTTGGAGAAAGGCACCATAGCTGGGTGAATACATCTCAAGGGGAAGAAAAATCGAAATTACGGGGAAAAGAATCCCTATGTTAAGATTCATGAATCAAAAGGCTTAGAAAGTCCACCAATTCAGAACAGAGGTTAATGCACTCAAACAAGAAGAGCAGCTAACATTTGGGCAGCGCGTCGCGTGGGATCACCCGGTACTCAGTGCCAGCTGCCGGAGTAGCTCACCGAGCCCTCAAAAGACCCTGAAATTAGCTCCATCTTATGAATGGGGAATCCAAGGCACAGAGAGGTGAAGTAACCTGTCAAGGTCACACAGTCAAATAAGAGGTGGAGCTAAGACAGGCAGGTGGGCCCGAGCTGTTAACCAAAAGGGGGGGCACCCCCATAGTGGGTGCTCTCCACTTCCCTCCTGTCACATAATAAAGCAGAGGAAGAGAGAGGTGGATGCCATTTAAGACAGGGGATAATTTTTCAGCAGCATAAAAGGCAAATGAAGTCCCAGGAAGACTCCCCAATGTGTCAAATTACTGTTTAATAATGAATACGGTCGCAGGTTGGCAACGATAAGCGCCCGGAACGCATTCTCGGGCAAGGAAGGTGTCCGTGCGGTGCTGCAGGGAACGTACAACATAAAATACAAGCAGGCACTGCGGGACACCACCCCGCGACATCCCACACCCCGCGCTGCCTACGTCCCTGCCTGGCTGCAAATGAGCAGAAGTAGGAAAACTGGCACCGGGCCCGGCGTCCACATGGCACCTTCTTTGTCGCAGCAGCCGGGTTGTGCAGCACGGGGGGGGGGGGGGGGGGGGGGGGGGGGTCACTCCCTCCACGACGGCCGCCACGGGCTGGCGAGAAGGTCCTCTCCATCCCGCAGAGCATCCTCTGTAAAGCTCCTCTTCCCCTCTGGCCTCGCCCCAGTCCACGGAAACGCGAATTCTGCCCGAGACCACGCGCACCCCCTCAGATGGCAGCACCTCAGAATCGCGCCCAGGAGCAGCACCCGCGTTCCGCTCAGGACATTTTGCCAGAGAACAAACTCGTTCCCGGTCACGTTCCCACGGCTTCCAGGTGAGACCCGCGCAGGAGCAGGGGGGGCGCGGGGCGCGGGGCGCGGGGCGCGCGGGGGCGCGGGGCGCGGGGCGCGGGGTGCGGGGCGCGGGGCGCGGGGCGCGGGGCGCGGGGAGGTCCCTCGCGGGCGCCGCGCTCTCCCCCAGCAACTTTGCCAGCGCGAGGCCCGCCCGGGCGGGGCAGGGGCCGCGCAGCGAGCGGGGGGCGCCGCGGGGGAGGCGCCGCGGGGAGGGGCACCGCGCGACGCCGCGCCCCGGCTCCAGCCGGGCGGCGAGGACAAAAGGAGCGGCCGCCGCGTCCAGGGCCGGTGGCGGGTCCCGGCCGCGCCGCTGGGGCTGCGCCGTCCGAGCGGCCGCCCTCGCGCGCGGCTCGGCGTCCCCATCCCCGGCCCGCGGGGCGCGGCGGGGCGCGGCGGGGGCGCGGGGGCGCGCGGGGGCACTCACCGTCTTCCTCCAACTCGAATTTCTCCAGCATGCCGGCTTCCGCGGGTCCCGGGGCCGCCGCCAGCGCCGCCTGAGGAGGAGCAGGACAGGATCAGCATGCGCTCGGCGGCGCGCGTCCCCGGCTGCGCGGGGCGGGGACGCGGGGCGCGGCGGGGCGCGGGGCTGAGGGCGGGGCCGGGGGCGCGCGGGCGGGCGGGGCGCGCGGGGGCGGCGAGGGCCGGGGTGCGGGAGGCCGCGGGTGGGGGGCGGGGCGGGGGCGCGCGGGGCGGGGCGGGGCCGGGGGCGGGGGCGGCCGCGGGGCTGGCCGGGCGCGGATGTGGGGGCGCCGGGCGGCCGGGGGGGCCGGGGGCGCGGCGCACGGGTCTCGGGCACGCCGCGCGGGGCGGGGGCGCGGGGCTAGGGGCGTGCGGGGGAGCTCGACGCTCGGGGTGCGGCGCGGGGCGGAGCGAGGGCGGGGGTCTAGGGGTGCAGGGCGGGGTGCGGGCCGCGGGCTTGGCGGGTGGGGGCGGAGGGGGGCGGAGGGGGGCGGAGGGGGGCGGCGGGGCGGAGGGGCCGGGGGCGGCCCTGGGACGGGCGGGGCGCGCCCCAGCCCCCCGCCCAGGCCGCGGGCGGCGCGTGCCGCGGCCCAACCTGCGCCCCTCCCGAGCGGGGCGGCCCCTCCCCGCGGCGGTGGCGCGGCCGGCGCAGGAAGCGTGGGAAGAGCCGCCGCCGAGCCCCGGCGCCCCCTCCGGCGCGGCCCTGCTCCCCGCCGAGCGGCCTTGAGCGCGGCCGCTCCTCCTCGCGGGCCCCCCGCCCCCGCCCCCCGCCCCACTCACCTGGCCCCGAGCCCACCGCCCGCCGCGCGGCCCTGCAGGTTGAACCTGCGCAGGTGAGGGCGCCCCGGCCCGGGTGGGGCCCCCGAGAGCGCCGCCGTGAGGGTGGGGGCGGGGCTGGAGGCCGGGAGAGCCCGGAGGACCCGGCACCGCAGACCGGGGGTGGCGATCGCCGGCCTTTCTTTTTAGAAAAATGGCCTAAACTGCCCCGCCCAGCTTCTCTTAGGTCGCGGGCATTGTGGATGCACTTGGTCGCTGTCCGTTTTACGCGGCGATCGCGGTCTCCGCGTGCTTCATGTGCTTCAAAGTCGATTCTCTCTTTTGGGTGACCGGCTGCCCAAGGCTCACAGGAGCCTAAACCTGGCCGGCCACTCCCGCCACCCTGGATCTGGGTATCTGCGCTCCCAGCGCAAGGGCTGGCAGGTGGCGCGGCAGCCTGGCGAGCGGAGCCCAGAGAGAGGCCTGGCCCCCCCTTCTGCGCCAGCTCCCTGCAGATGCAAGGCCCTGAGGATCAGCGTGGCTCTGCAGGGCTGACTAGGTCTGGAAAGGCCCCAAACTTATGGGAACTTAGTTCTGTCACTTGCAAGCCTAGCCTGGAGGGGGAAGTGCCGAGCTCACCTCTACAATTTCTTTTTGCTAAGTCATCTCAGTGGGGCCAAAGCCTAACTCTTAAACTCCTTGGGGGGGGGGAGGGGGGAGGTTTGAGAAAAAGAAGACTGTTTTTCTAAGACATTGGGTGGTTGGTACAAACCCACAGCTGTGTCATTCTTAACAAGAAAGTAAATGCTTTTCCTCAGAGCTCGGACCGAGGCCAGGGTGTGTCTGTTCCTACACTGTTCTTATTCAACATGGTACTGGAAGTTCCAGCCACTGCAATTAGGCAAGAAAAATAAGGCCAACAAAGGAAGAAATAAAACCATCCCCATTTGCTGATGGTTGTTTGCATAGAAAGGTCCAAATAATCTATCAGGACAAATAAAAACAACCCCAAAGCTAGAACTAAATAGTTCTAGCAAGGTCACAGAATATGAGGCCAACTCGCAAAGTCACATTCTGCGTAAAACAAGGACCCTGTGGAAACTGACATGAACGAACACCCCTGGTGTTCACACGGAGGAAATGGTATTTAGGTTTATTCTTAAAACAGACACCAGCTCTGCATGCTGACAATTGCAAAAATGTAGATGAAATGCAAGAAGACCTAAATAGATGCAGAGCACCCAATTTCCCAGATTGGCAGGCCCAAAGTATTGTGAAGATGTCTGTTCTCCCCCAAAGTCATCGCTAGTGCAAGGCCTCTCAAACTCCTGACATGGCTTTTTGGGCAGTCATGATTATTCTAAAATTTACATGGAAAGGGATAGGCTCTAGAACAGCAAAAACACCTTGAAAAAGAATGAAGTTCTTTAGAGCTACAGTAATCAAGACGGTGGGGTACTGGCAGAGGAGCAGACACATGATCAATAGAGAAAATATCTAGAAATAGACCCACATAAATAGTCCAAACGAATGTTTGATAAAGGTGCGAAAGCATTGATGCTGGAACGACTGGCTCTCACCACGCAAAACCAAAAACCTGAATGTAAGCCTCAAACTTCATGTAAAAATGAGCTCAAATTGGATCATGGACTTAAAATGTAAAACATGAAACTTTTAGGGAAAAAAAGTAAAACCTTCGCAACCCATTGCTAGGCAAAGAGGTAGACTCAGCATCAAAAGCATGATCCATAAAAGGAAAAGTTAGTAAATTGCACCTCATTAAAGTGAACAATATTTGCTCTGCAAACCACCATATTAAGAGGATGGAAAGTGTGTAAGTGTCAGAAGACACTCGCAAACCACACAGCCCCCGACTAGTATCTGGAGCACATGACGAATTAAAAAAAAAAAAAAAAGACCAGAGAATCCATTTAGAACATGAGCAAAAGGTGCGGAGACGTTTCACTGAAAGAGACATACATGGCAAGCAAGCACACAAAAGGGCGTGCAGCGTCATTAGCCAGTGGAGGAATGCAAATGAGCCCACAGGAAGCTGTCACCCACACCTGCTAGAATGGCCAGAATAACAGCTGTGACAGCACCCCGCGCTGGTGAGGATGTGACAAATGGTCACTTCTGCACTGCCGGTGGGGATGCAAGCCTGACCGCCACTCTGGAGTAGAATTGGCAGTTTCTTACAGAATTAAACATGCACCTGTCATGTGATACCTCAGCTCCATGGTTAGGCATTTACCTGGGGAATGAAAACTTATGTTTGTATGAAGGAATGCATGTGAGTGTTCACAGCTGCGTCATTTGTAATAGCTCATTCTGGAAACAACAGATGTGCATGGGGAACGGTTAAGCGACCGTGGCCTGTGGCCTACTCAGAAACCAGGGAGTTCCATCCCCGCAATCCCTTGGATGAGGGAAGACGCTACTCCCATAATGTATGAGTCACTGATAACATGCTCTCAAAGTGACAGAATTATAGAGAGGGAGGCCAGGGAGTGGGTGCCGGGGTCAGGGATGGGGTGGAGACAGAGGGTCGAAGGACAGCCGTGACGGACCCAGCCTATGTCTATCCTCCGCATGACCTCACACTGTATCCCCCACCATGAGCCAAGCCAAGCCGAGCGAGTTGTGTGAAGGCAATCACCGTCTAGGTTAATTTAAAAACTCCTTTGTTGAGTACCAGTCACATCCCACAAGATACGATTTCTTCATGATGCAACTATCAGTGTTGACGGCATTTTCATCATCCCAAAGAGAACCCTGTGCCCCCCCAGCTTCTTACTGCATGCGCCCCCTACCCCCCGCCCCAGGCCCCCACTCATCTTTTTCCAGACAATGCAAACTCAGTCTGTCCAGAGCAGCCACTGGGTTCTCTCCATCTGCTCGTGTCCTCAGAGGACACCCCGCTATTCTCCATCCCCACCCCAACTCCTCTGGCCTCCACCACCTCAGCTTGGCTGCTGCAACAGCTCCCACCTCGCCAGGCTCTCCCGTCCCTTGTCTGTGCGCTGCTGGAGCCAGAGTGACCTTTTAAAAGCACAAACGTGCTCTTGTTCCTCCGGTTTAGGACCATTCCGTGGAGCCTGGAGGAATTTCCTGCAAACTCCTCTGCTCAAAACAGGGGCCTGCTCATTTTATTTCTTCACCTTCTTTTGCCAGCTCCCCTGCACTGCTGCTGAAAGGGTTCTCCGCTCCAGGGCCTGGCACCCCGCTTGCTCCCACCTCCCCCGCCCGGGCAAATTCCCACTCGGTCCTGTAAGGTGGGTCTTAAGAAGAGGGCTGTCTGTGGAAAATAACGGCTGAAAATATCAATAATTAATTAGTAAATGTTTATTGACTGTTTTCTGTTTCTGTGCCAGGCCTTTCCATCTTGAGAGCATCCTGAACAGCAAAGCTTTAAAAGACAATGAAAGTGTAAAATAATTACTGGGTTGAAGTTTTCCCAATTATCTGCCTTCCGGTGTGGATGAAGGACTTGAATATATGGAGGTGATATTTCTGTAGCCATCTGGTGAAATAATACAGGCTTGTTGTTAGGAATATAAAGTTGTGGTTACAAGGAGGCAGCGCTGTCTGCATCTGAGGAGGGGTTTTCTTGGGGGGTATCCTGGTCTCTCTGAGTTACAGTTTCCTCGCCAAATTGTTTCAGTCTAAACCACTGGTGTAAGTTACGGTAAACCCTGCTTTACTACTCTCCAGTGGATCACGGATCTTTACTATGAGTCCTTCCTATGAAAATATGTCACTTCACGATTAAATGTTCACATTTGATTCCAACTGGACCTTGTGGTGGGACCTTTGTGGGCGGGGCCTACGCGTCAGTCATGGGTCATCGCTGCATCGATGCTCTGGCCACACCGGGCCATGGCTTTATTAAGTATAGAAATGTCTTGTTTTTTCAGTCTTTACCTATCATACAAGTGGTGGTTGTTGAATTTCATAAGAATATTGTGCTAAACTGTGTCCTTGGGTGCTAAGGAGCATATTGCAAAGAACTGTGTAAAAAAAAAAAAAAGAACTCTGCAATTAAACTGAAACAAGAAATTAAAAAAGCAAGAAATTTAAAAAGTTAGTGAATTGGCACAAGAATTTGGTTTCCCTCACCTGCTCCATAAGCAAATCTAAGTGATTTCTTTTTTTAAGGATGACTTTATTTTTTTTTTTAAAGATTTATATTTATTTATTTATACAAGCACTGGGTACAGTCAGAAGCGCGGGAGGGTGAGAGAATTCACCAGAGCCAGAGCGGGGAGCAGAGCAGGCA